TATAAATTATTTATGTGAACGAAGTTAGTAGGCTGCAGATGAAGGCACAGCGAGTCACACAATTTAAGGCTGCAGAAGAAAGGACAGCACTCATACAATAATATAAATACATTTAAAAAATATACATTGAATCTTCGTTTATATAGAGTTATAAATATGAATAATACGGCAAATACAACAACTTCTGGACGGCGTTTTTCGATACCTAGCTGAAAACGTGATTGCCAAGCATCGCTCACATGTCTTATGAGAGCCATGCTGAATCGCCTGGTATTGATTTTAATTTATTGTCTCGTAAATATTGTGGATCAACGGATATTCTCCAGGTTTCGTCCAAAATTCAAATTTTATATCTAATATTCTAATCAATCATAATAATATAATCTTGTCATCAAGATTACAGATATTATAGTAAACTATAGACAATACTTAGGTGTTATCCCAAAATATTATTCATGTTTGTTCAATCTATTATAATTTAATATTTTTATGTAATTATATTGTCAAAATAATAATAATTTTGAAAAAAATAAAAATAAAAATTGTGTTAAATTTGAATTTAATGATATAATATCATTGTATAAGAAAAACGATTCTGTGCGAAAACGGTCTTCAGCCTATGATATTACCATTGAGCATTTATAATCAATGATATTACTAAGTATATTTGATGATATTATTGTGAATAAAGTAATTTATATATTTATCTATTTACGTGGAACCTTGTTTTAAATTTTCAATCCTTAGCTAGTTAGCCATAAAAGTTGAACATTTTATACATTTTTGACTACAAAATAATTATTAAATTTTGTAAAAATTCGAACTTTATAAATGCTTATAAAAAAAAACTGTGCCTGCATATTTTTTATATTTTTCAACTGATATTATTGTAACAATATATCAGAAATCTTGCATTAAATTTTCAAGCTTTTTTGCCCAACAAATAAAATTTTATTGATATTTATATAAAAAAAAAAAAACCAAAAAAAATGAAAATTGACAATGTCCGTGAACATCTCAAAAAGAGTCAAAATGTTATGGTGCATAGAAAACAGTTATTCGTTTTTGAATAACAATAAAATAACAAAACCGCTACATGAGAAATCAAGTAAATATAAAATATTGTAAACATATTAATTTCAAACGCTCATAACAATTTACTTTGATTTGCTTGTAGACATTTTTTTTTTTGATAAAGATAGAAAAACTTATGAATCATCTTGTATTACATTTTAAAATCTTAGATTTAAAAAGAAAAAAATTTATGAACTCTAAACTCAAAATAATTTGATAATTTTCGTGAATTTTCTGTATTTTTCCAAGATTTGAACTTTAAATGCTTATAAATAAAAACTGTAACTAAGGATTTTTATTTTTTTCAAATGTCATTGGAACAATATAGTAGGAGACTTGTATTAAATTTTCAAGCAATTTTACCCAACAAATAAGTTTTTATTGACATTCATAGGAAGAAAGACTAATAAAATTGAAAAATGAGAATGTTCCTAAACAGTTTGAAACAAATCAAAATATTTTGAAAATGTTATATGTATAGGAAATGCAAATATCGTATATGAAATGAACATACATATCCATATGCAATATACGTTTATTTGTTTTAGAGTTACATAACAAAAACCAAAATCGATTTTGCTTAAAAATTCCCGTTTTTCCTTAATTTTTATGTGGTTTTTGTCGGCACTTTTGAAAACTATTGAGAATTTTAAAATTTGAACTCTCAAATGCACCAAAATCTAAAAAAAATTGAAAAATTGGTTTTGTTAAAAATCGACTTTGATAAGAAATTAATGTTTTTCCCGATTGTTTGAAATAATGAATTTTCAATTTTTACCAAGCAAAAGTACCAATAACCAACTGGATAAAATGTTCTATCCGAAATCACTTTCAAAGTTGATAATCAAAGTATTTTTTCTGCTTCTTTTTAGATAAACAGACACAATAAAACACGTCATTGTAAAATTAATACATCTAATAGGTACATCATACAATCTAAAATTAATAACATTTAATATTTGTGGGTGGGCATGCCCTACATGTCTCCCTTCCTATTAATAGGTAGTGTACAACTTAACTTTTTTATTATGTGGTCACTTGCATTGCTTCACAATTTTAATAACATTATAAATATAATATTAAATATCGTCTGCACTATACGTATTATTATTATTATTATTATTAAAGGTACGGTTTCCCTTGCGCCATCGCGAACGCGAACCGCGATCTAAGATCGCGTACCCTGATCGCGTGGCTGCTGATACAATGTAAATCAAATATAGTCGGTTTTCCTTGCGCGACCGCGGTCGGCGATCGCAATTTGTTCGTGGTGCGAACGCGAACTGACTGGTCTTCGAGCAGTCAAATCGCGTTCGTGCCGCGATCGGCTTATTGTTTTGATAATAATTATTAATAATTCAATCATGCAATATTTTCATTTATGTTTGAACACTCGTTGCCATCGGTTGTTCAAACACGAGTTCTGCAATGGTCAAGTTCAATAAGGAGCAAGACGAGATATTGGTCGAATGTGTAGCCAAACATCCCCCAATTTATAATCCCGAAAATAGGGGTTATAACGATTTGAATATACGAGATGCAATTTGGAAGGATTAAGTGGCAACGTTGGGCGAAGTGGTAAGCAAAATATTATAAATATTGTTTGTAAAAAATATTAGATTCGTATGAATAAAAATATATTATAATGGTATAAATAATTTTTTCAAATAATGCATTGAGATTATAGTATATTTAATTTGAATATCATTATTATAATATTATGAGCAGTAGCGTCATTTAGGGGAGGGCAACTGGGGCATTTGCCCCAGTCTAGTATTTACATCAACCTTAAGCATTGACGGACTGGGGCAACTATTCGGCCCGGGAAATTTATATTTTGACCGGCCCTTAAAATGTCGTCATCACTAAATGTAAGACTTAAATATGGTACCAAAGTTTTGACAAATAATGGTTGCATCCTCCACCTACTCATTTTTAATTTCCTCAGGAGACAACTTAAGATTCTCAATGTACCTGTTTAGTATTTTATCTTAATTAAATGTACTGCACAGTATTATGTATATATCACTTTTTCTATTACCTACTCTATAAGTGATCCATAACGGATGAAAAAAATAGGTTCGTTTAAACTACTTTAACTTGATTTTTCTAAGAGTATCTTTGTCTCTATCTCTGATTTTCTCAACCCCACTCTTTCTTTTAGTTTCCATTTTAAGCAACAAATAGATAAGTAAATATTACAAAATCATCAAACGATACACTAGTACACTACAATAAAATAAAAAAGAAGTTCAAGAATTCACTTTTTTGAATTAAGGACGTTACATTGAACGTACGAAACTGTACCTTTAGTTATCAGCTTATTAATTCCCATCAAATTATCACAAATTATCTTTTATATTTTACTATTATGTAAGCACAATATATTTATATTATATTTTTTATTGTGTACAATTTAATGTTAGTTATATTAAGTAAATACTGGCTGGCTAGAAGTGGATATATTAATCGACTGTAGAATAAAGTCATATTAAGTTATAAATAGGGCATGGATATAAATGCAATAAAAAAAACAATGCCTTAAAAATACGATTTTATGCACAGTAACAATATTACAAAGCTTAGTAAAATGCCCAGAAAAATGAAAAGCCAATTTAAATGAAAATAAAATAGAACTTAAATAGGTATAGTCATTAGTCGTTAGTCGTCATATATTGTGTTTCATTATAATCACTTTTCAATCAGAAGCTAATCAATATTTTTGAATAAAAAACTTTGACTCTTAGAATTGGCAAGTGTTGTTTTGTATAACTGAAGTCATAGGAGCAAACAAAATAAAATAAAACGTAATAAAATTGAAATATTAGTAAGAAAAAATGATTTTTAATTATATTAAATTTCTTGAAGGAACTTAAGCTAATAGTGTTTATAAAATTGTATATATACTTATAAAATTTACGAAAAGTTCCTTCAAACGATAAACATGTCATAAAAACGTCAAAAAAATGTTCTATAAATCAGTAAAGTTAAAAAAATGCTAAATAAAAATTTAATTTTTAAATTATTTTATGTATGAAAGCAACTGATTGGAAAGCAATGTTTAAGAGAATCCAGAAAAAAATGCAATTTATCTTCAAATTCACACCCTAGTAGTTATAAATAATAATTTCTGTTTATGCATTGATGCCGAGGGGCTGGTCAACCAGCTGAACTGAAATCTAAAATCTTTAACACCAAATATAGTATAAACATTTTGCACACTCAATAGTTATGATATGAAAATACAAAATATTTATAATTTATATTTATACCTACTGATTTTGTTATAAATAAATTATAATAGGTAACTAATTATTTTTGAGTAGCGGCCCACCGGGAAAGTTCCCGGTATCCCGCCCCTGACCTTAAGTCGGCACATTTAGCACACGCCCCCCCCCCCCCCGTTTACCACTATGGCACTATGCTATGAGAATCTGAGTGAACAAAATGTTGAGTCGGAAAAGCAGTGAAAAATTCCCCTAGTCTAATAAAAACTGAAATGACGTAACTGATTATGAGTAGAAAAAGACGTGTACAACAGATCGTTCAAGTTTAAAATAAATGATTATTTTCAAGTAAATACCTTGACACTGTCTATTTATGAATGAGTAGGTACCTATTTTAGAAGTTATGAATACACACGCACGTGTAGGGACTGTGTACTTCTCTATACGTTAAGCTAAAAATAAATTATAATTTCTGGACATTTATTTTTATCGTGTTTAAAATATCAAAACTAATTTTAATCTCCATGATATATATTTTGTATTATGAATTATTCAAAAAAAAACCAAATAATTGTAAAATGTTAGAATTTTTGTGTGAGACCGTCACTTATATTTAATATTATAAATATCAACCTATACTTAGCAGCAGTTAAAACTAATTATTTATTTATTTTAAAAAACAAATTACAAGTATAATATTTAAGTATTGGTAGATGATATTCTGGAAACTTGATAATTTTGCCACGAGACTGTTCCTTCTTGAATAAAAAATTGTTTAAATTTTTCCCTCACATCAAAACCATCTGCACTCGCAAAGCCACCTCTACTACATAAAGTGCCCATCTCAGTAGTCTGTCCTTCGTCATATTCATAAAAAATGTTATTACCTTTTTCCAAAAACGCATCTCTCAACATATTGTGCAAACAACATGCGACAGTTACTAGATCGTCATATACTGACATACTTCTACATCAATTCCTATTGCAGTATGAAATATTCTAAAAACTTGTGCTAATAAGCCAAATGCATTTTCCGTCACTCTACGACAACGACTCAATCTGTAATTAAAAATAGTTTTTGCTCTGTCTTGTTTAGCTGTAGATCTAGAATATGGTTTCATGATATGCTTGTGAAGTCTGAATGCTTCATCGCCAACAATAACAAATGGTGTAGAATTATTAGTGCCTGGTAGTTTTTCGTCGCCTGGAAAATTAAAATCTCCAGAATAAATTTGCTGTCCCATTTTTGATTTTCCAAATATGCCACTATCTCCTTCTTTGCCATAGGATCCAACATCAATGGCTAAAAATTTACAATTCGCATCTACTAGTGCTAATAAGACGAGGGAAAAATGTTCTTTGTAGTTAAAGTATAATGAACCGGTATTTTTTGGGCACTTCATTCGAATATGTTTACCGTCGATTGCGCCAATACAATTTGGGAAATTCCATCTTGTCCAAAACTCTTGGGCTTTATCTTTCATATTTAATTTACTCGGATTAGGTATACAAAGTGGTAACAGATGCTTTTTCATAGATTTTAAGGTATTTTGTATTATAATACTAATATAGCTGTGGGATATACGGAAAGCAAAAGATAAAGAACGGTACGTTTCTCCAGAAGCTAAAAATCTGAAAAAAAATATATTATATACATGTCATTATTATTTAATAAATAAATATATTTCATTTTTTATTTATTTGAATCAAAATATACTGTTATTACAATAGGTAGGTACTAATAACTAAATAACCGACAACAATGTATGTTATAAATATTTTATTTGTTAACGGTTACGAAATGTAATTTTTTTTAATCTGCTTACCAATTATACAGATGCGTTCTGTATTTAACCTTAAAACAAATTTAAGTTTCATTTGTTATTTTGTTGCAAGTACCTTATCATTTTTTTTTATAATTTATGTTTTTATTATACAACAGTATTTTAATAACTCTTGTATGAAATCGGTTATGAATATTTATTTGTACTAGATGAAGACTGCAAGAGAAGGTATAAAAATATTAAAGATGCCTATTTAAAAAATAAACGGGCCAGAAAAATGAATACTGGAGCAAGTGCCTCTTCAACACCCTCAAAATGGCATTTAGCACCATTTTTAAATTTTTTGGATACAGTACCACAAGAAAGAAAGTAAGTACCTTATTGCATATCATAAAGAGTGATTGACTTATTCCAAAATTTGTTTTTTTTTAAATTTTTTGATACATATTTTAGATTCTGAGTTTAGAACGATGAATGTATTGATATTACAATGATGTGTTTTTTATTTTTTTATTTTTTTATTTTTAATTTTTATATTAGATTCTGAACGAAACGATGAATGTATTGATTTTACAATGATGTGTGTTTTGTTTAAAAAATTTTTTTTGTGTCTGTCATCACCTTTTAGGACAGTAAAAATGCTTGGATTTTCTTCAACAGTAACTTTTCTGATAGAAAAGTGAATCTAGTTGGTACTTTGGGGGGTCAAAAGTAAAAACTTCTTAGTAGTTTTCAAAATCAACGCGAAAAACAAAAGAAAAATTAAGGAGAAACGGGAATTTTTTGGTGCAACTTTAAAATAAATGAACGTATATATACATGCAATTTTCACTGGTTGTTTATATTCAAATTTTCTGTACAAGATAAAATTTAAAAAATATTTTTATTTGTTTTGAACTGTTTAAGAACATTTTCATTTTCCAATTTTATTAGTTTTTATTCAACTTCACTATTTTTAAACATAAAAACATTCAATAAATTATTGTTTGACAATTATTATTATTATTGTCTATGTATTTTTAATATTTTTCAACTGCTATTGTAACAATATATCAGGAGCCTTGTATTAAATTTTCACGCTTTTTTACCCAACAAATAAAATTTTATTGATATTTATAGAAAAAAAACTAAAAAAATTAAAAACTGATAATGTCCGTACACAGCTCAAAAAGAGTCAAATTATTTTCAACATTTTATCGTGTTTAGAAAATGCTAATATAAATATTCAGTGAAATTTTCAAGTATCTACAGTCATTCGTTTTTTAATTACAACAAAATAAGAAAATCTTTACATGAGAAATCAAGTGAATATCAAATAATGTTGTAAAAATATGAATTTCAAACGCTCATAAAAATTCAATTTGACTTTCTAGTAGACTTTTTTTTTTTTTGATAAAGGTAAACAAACTTATGAATAATCTTGTATTACATTTTCAAACCTTAGATTTCAAAAGAAAAATTTTTACGAATTTTCAACTCAAAATAATTTGCTAATTTTCGTGATTTTTCCGTATTTTGTCAAGATTTGAACTTTAAACGCTTATAAAAAAAATTGTGACTAAGGATTTTTAATTTTTTTTAACTACCATTGAAACAAAATACTAAGAGCCTTGTATTAAATTTTCAAGGTTTTTTAACCAATAAATAACATTTTATTGATATTTAAAAAAAAAAAACTAAAAAAATTGACAGTTCAAAAAGAGTCAAAATATTTGAAAAATTTTATCGTGTATAGAAAATGCGAATATAAACGATCAGTGAAAATTTCATGTATATACGTTCATTTGTTTTAGAGTTAAAAACCAATCTTGCGTAAAAATTCCCGTTTTTTCTTAATTTTCATGTGGTTTTTCCCGGCGCTTTTGAAAACTATTGCGAAATTTAAATTTTGACCTCCCCAATGCACCAACGATATTCACATCGAACAAGATACTGAAGTCGAAAATCGAAGCATTATTTCGACTACTTATCGTGTACACAGATACAAAAAAAAATAAATAAATAAAAAAACACAAATCATTTTAAAATCAATACAGTCATCGTTTCACTCAGAATCTAAAATCCAAAAATTGCATAGAATTGCACCTAAGAGTTTTAGATTTTAATTCGTATTTACATTCAACACATTTAAAACTTACTTAACAATAAATTGAAACAGAAAAAAATGCAAATGCAAATGCAACAACATCCTTGCCCTAGTGCAATGGCTATATAATACCAGATTATTATTATTTATTATTCATTTTAACAGCACTATATCAAATATATTTGATACTGATAATAACGAAGATTCTGGCTCAGACGAAGAGGAAATAAATATCACACAAGATGATATACTGCAGTCATCACCAATAACGCAAGATCCTCAATCTCCATCGACTTCAAGATCACAAAAACCGACTAATAAAAGAAAAAATTTAAAAGTCACTGAATTATTGGACAAAAGATCAAAGGAAAGAACGGAGCTGATGACGCAACTGATTGCTAAACAAAATAAGGACGAGTACGATGAGGTTGATAATTTTTTCAAAAGTTTAGCTCTATCTGTCAAAAAGTTGCCACCACAGTTAATTTCACAGGCGAAATTGAAAATGTTGACAATTGTGACTGACTTGGAACTTCAAGCTGATAATTATACACATAACGTCCACATCATACACCTAACTGCAGTAGCAGAGTATCATTACAGTCAAATAATTCTACTAGTAGCTCACCATACTCTAACAACTTTACTCCATATAGTTATAGTCCACCTTCACTAGATTCACCATCATATTCGAGTATCCAACAACAGTTCGGACCAACAAATACAACGACGCCTTTCCAGTCAGTTCAAAATATGAGTAATGAATGGAACACAAATTCTCAGTAAATTTAAAATATTATCTTATAAGGTATTTTGATTTTTTTTTAAATTAATTTTTCATAAGTCAATGAAATATAATATGATAAAGTACCTTTAATTTGTAACGATAGAAAATTGATTTATTTTTAACTTTGATACAAATTGTATATTAAAATAAAACAACAGTATTCCATAAATAAATATGAGTTCTTATTTAATTTTAATTTATCTGTATCTAATTTAAAAATTGTACTTACCTCAATGTAACCGCCAATTTTTCTTCTGGTGATATGGGTTTCCTTATAAAAAATGTTGGATTTAATGTTAAATCGTCCCTTATTAGATTCAAAATAAAATCGAACTGATGACGGTTTAATCTAAAAAATTCCCTGAACTTGATTTCATTATTTTTTAGGTGACCGTTGATAAGTATTTCGTGATAACCTTCGGTACTCCTCTTTGTAAATAATGGATCATGCTGCTTTCTTTTTTCTTCCGACAAATACCAGCTCAAGATCTCATCATCTTCTTCTTCTTCTAGCAAAATCATTTTTAAGATTTCTTTATCGACTAGCTGTATCCATTACAATAATTTTTAAATACGAACAGTACCTACTCATACACCGTGAACTTAGCACTTCAAAATATCGAGTACGACTGACGGACGACTGTTAAAATAAAATTATAAATATTTCGGTCGCGACGTAGAATCATCTAGAGCAAACCAACATGACGCGAATGCGATCTTAATTCGTAGTTCACGTTCGCTGACCGCGTTCGCGATCGCACAAGGGAAACCGTACCTTAAACTAGTTACGCTCGAATGCTCAAAAATCGTAAAATAGTGAACTTTATTAGGCCATAACTTCGAAACTAAGTCCGACCTCCAAATTCTGACTTCACCATCGTTCTCATTATAGTAAACTACATAAGTCTAATAAAAAAAAAATGCAAAAAAAAAGGGTGTCCGGTAAAGTAACAAAATACCAAAAATTGTTGTTAAATTTTGTTATCATATGGTTGTCACTTGTCGTGAACGATGTGTGATGACTCGAGAAAACTTTTTTTGACTGTGACAGTTGCTCAATAGTCAATAATCCTATTTAATCGATTGCTTATTTTTATATATTTTTTTAATTTAAACATTTTGAATTTCGTTTTAATAGAAACGTGCCAACCATAAACAAGTCAGATTTTAATTTACTTGGAACAGTTGTGCATATTTTAGATCCAGAGATTGAACAGTTAAAATGTTCAAAACTGTTCATGTTTTACAGTAGATAGGTACTTATAATTAAAAACCGCATGATTTGCTATTGATATACAACAAGGAT